ATTTTAGAAACTTAGGCTTGAATCGGATGTAATTTGGTAGATTTGATGTTGTTTGAGGTATTTTGATGATTGGAGAGAGTTTGAATAAGGTATTGGGTTATGTTTGTGCTTTTGGTTGAGGTCCCGGGGGCCTCGGGATGATTTCGGGTGGTTAACGAAGAAGTTTGATGTTGATTGCAGCTTCAGATTTTGCTGGTTCTGGTGTTTTCGTACCTGCGGTTTGGGGACCGCATGTGCAGTGTCGCATATGTGGGAGGATAACCGCAGAAGCAGTTTTAGAAAGAATGTTTAGAACCGCAGATGCGGTATAGGGCCCACACCTGCGGAGCCGCAGATGCGGCGAGTGCACCGCAGATGCGGTCTTGGTCCCTTAATTGAACTCCGCATAAGCGGTTAGTTAGACGACAAATGCGGTACCGCAGATGGGGCTTTTTGACCGTAGATGCGGAAAAGCCTGGGCAGAAGGTACATATTTCATCCTTCGTGATTTTTGAAGGGTTTAACCATTTTTGAACTCGGAATTGGGAGCTTTGGGCGATTTTAAAGAGAGAAATCAAAGAGACTTCGTTGAGGTAAGGATTTTGGGCTTAAAATACATTTCTATGGTAGAATTTAATGAATTAATGTTGTAATCAATGGGATTAAAGGGCTAAAAAATGGAAGATTAGGGCTTGAGTTTAAGAGGCCTTTAATGGAGGATTTGAGCGGTCATTTAAACTTCGATTTTTGTATTCTTGGTATGTATGGACTCGCGGGGAGATGAGGAATCTATTGGTTTAAAAATTTCTGAGTTTTGAGAAGTGGGCTCAAGGCTCAGGTTTTGCTAATTTCGGAATTTTTGGTATTTTTCGATTGTTTTCGCTTGGGCTTTGTTCCCTTAGCATATTGTGACGTATTCGTTCTGATTTTGGATAGATTTGACGCGAGCGGAGGCCGATTTGAGTGGCAAAGGTGTCACAGAGTAGTATTTTTCACCAGTTTGAGGTAAGTAACCATTGTAAATCTGGAACTGAGGGTACAAAACCCCGGTATTGGACTTGATTTGATAAAATCGGTGATGCCCATGCTAGGTGACGAGCGTGTGGGCGTGCACCGGTAGGGATTGTGACTTAGTCCATCCCGTAGTGACTATTAAGACGCGTAATTGATTTAGAAATCTATATTATTCTATGCTTCAGTCATTTATACTGCATTATGGGTTGTATGCCATGTTTGGGGCCTTGTGCCGATCTATAGAGACCCTTAGGGGCACTTTGACTGGTTTTCTCACTTTACTTGTTTAAAGCATAGCCTCAGTCATGTTTTTACCTATCAAATGTTTAAAACTGGTTTTATCATTCCGCTCCTATTATGAGGGCTGTGTGGACTGAGTTCCCTAAATTATATTGTTATGCTCGAGAGGCAGTGAGATTAATAACTGAGAGAGGTCGAGAACCTAATTGTGAGGATATTTATATATATGTGAGTTATGGATCGAGCTACACACCGCAGCGATGCTTATATGGATCGGGATGCACGCCGCAGCGATATAGCACTTGGGCTGTAGGAGCCCCTCCGGAGTCTACACTCCCCCAGTGAGCGCAGTCGACTATATATATATGGATCAGGCTGCACGTCACGGCGATATGGATCGGACTGCACGCCGCAACGGTTACTATGATTTCTGTTATAATGAGGTGTATATGAGCCGAGTGCTGAGAGTGAGCACTAAGTGACGAGAATTGAGCCCCGAGTGACTGAGAGGCTGCCCGAGGGGCCATATTCTGAGTGATTCCTTGCCCAAGAGGCCTTGTTATGATGTTTTCATTGCTTCACTCTTTTTTTTCTTAAACTAAGCCTCTGTTGGAAATACTGTTAAGTATATGATTTCAAGTTTTAAACTGAAAGTGTGGATTTTATGACGAAACTGGTTTTAAACTGTTAAGTCGAGCTATTATCATGTTGCTATTTTCAGTTATATGTTTTAACTTCTCGTCACTATCTTCAGTCTTTATTTACTTTAGTTACTTACTGAGTTGGTGTACTCACGTTACTCCCTGCACCATGTGTGCAGATCCAGGAGCCCATGTGGCCGAGTGAGCATTCTTCAGTTGGTTCAGCTTCTGTTGGGAGATTCCAAGGTAGCTGCATGGCGGGCGCAGCCCTGAATTCTCCCCTCTATCTTATTATTTTCTGCATTTCTAGACTATCTATGTAGTAGGTTGTTCAGACTTGTAATTAGAGGCTCTAGACTTGTGACACCAGATCATTTGGGCTGTGTAGTTATTGTCATTTTGACTTCCGCATATTTTCTGTTATTCTACACGTTTATTATGAAATTAGTATTTAAAAACTCGTATTGAAAATGGTTTATTACTAAAGGAACGGGTTATGGCTAGTTGACTGGTTGGCTTGCCTAGTAATGTGATAGGCGTCATCACGACCGGTGTTTGGGGTCGTGACAAGTTAGTATTAGAGCCTAGGTTACATAGGTCTCGGAGTCATGAGCCAGTTTAGTAGAGTCTCGCGAATCGGTACTAAGACGTCTGTATTTATCCTCGAGAGGCTGCAGAACCTTTAGGAAAAACTTCATATTCTTGAAATTCTTGTCATGCGAACTTGTTGATCCGAGTACTAAACTTCTGTTATTCTATTCTCTCACAAATGGTGAGGACACGCGCTACTGGTCGGGGTGGACAACCCCTAGTACCGCCAGCTATGGCCATCAGAGGCTGAGGATATGGTCGTGGTCGTGGTAGAGGCAGAGCAGCGAGGGCAGCACTTGTAGATCCACCAGCTGCCCCAGTTCAGGATTAGGTCCCAGATATGGACGCTCCTGCAGCACCAGCTCAGGCACCACATATGCCCATCGTGATTCCGGGGCTTCTAGAGGCCTTGGCACAGATCTTATCAGTTTGCACCGGCTTGGCTCAGGCGGTTTCAGCCACTATAGTCGCAGGTACTTTACAGGATGGGGGAGGCAATTAGACTCCCACCGCTTGCACACCTGAGCAGGTCGTGCAGGGACTTCAGNGCCGCAGCTACTTCCCAGGCCGGGAGAGGCACCCAGACTTCCATTGCTCGCACACCTGAGCAGGTAGTGCAGGGATTACAGACACCGGGAACACCTTCAGCTCAGTCGGTTGCACTAGTTCAGGAGTTTGTAGTACCAGTTATGCCGGATGATGAGCAGCGTCGACTTGAGAGGTTTGGTAGGCTCCAACCTACAACATTCAGTGGTGCAAAGGGCGAGGATGCCCAGGGTTTCCTAGATAAGTGCCAGCGGATGCTTCGACAGTAGGGATTCTTGAGACTAGTGGTGTGGCATTTACCACGTTTCAGTTTTCTGGGACTGCCTTCACTTGGTGGGAGGCATATGAGAGGCGTAGGCATGTTGGTGCAGCGCCCCTCACTTGGTAGCAGTTCTTTGTTCTCTTCCTGGAGAAGTACGTACCACAGTCGTGCCGAGAGGAGTTGCACAGGCAGTTTGAGCAGCTGCGTCAGGGGGAGATGTTAGTGATGCAGTATGAGATGTGGTTCTCTGAGTTAGCCCGACATACAGTTTGGATGGTTCCCACGGATCGAGAGAGGATCAGGAGGTTTATTGATGGCCTCACATATCAGCTTCGGATTCTCATGACTAGAGTGAGGGTGACGGGTGCTACCTTCGAGGAGGTTGTTGATATCGCCCGTGAGATTGAGTTGGTTTGCTAGCAGGAGCAAGAGGAGAGGGAGGCCAAGAGGCCTCGAGGATCTGGTAGCTTCAGCAGTGCTCCTTCGAGGGGTCAGTCCTAGCAGGGCAGAGGCCGTTATTTCAGGCAGGCACATTCAGCCTGCCCAGGTTATCATGGAGCATCTTCGGGTCATGGTTATCATGGATCTCAGCAGGGCCAGCCATCACTTTGTGCCCTTCTAGCTTAGAGCTCATCTCGTGCTCCATCAGTCCAGGGTTCTTCCATGCTAGGTTCTTCTACTGGTCATTCCGGTGCCAGGGGTTCCCTTCAGTCCCTATCTCCAGCACTAGGGAGTTGTTATGAGTGTGGAGAGTTTGGGCATATGAGGAGACAGTGTCCTCGTCTTCGTTATGGTTAGTCTCAGCAGAGGGATCAGCCCTCGACTTCTGCTCCAGTTACTTCACCACCCACCTAGCCAGCTAGAGGTGGAGGTCAGGCAGCCAGGGGATGCCCTAGAGGGGGAGGTCGATCAGGTGGTGGTCAGGCTTGTTTCTATGCCCTTTCGGGTAGATCAGATGTTGTTGCTTCAAATGTCGTGATTTCAGATATTATTTCAGTCTGCCACAGAGATGCCTCTGTATTATTTGTTCCCGGTTCCACCTTTTCTTATGTGTCCTCGTATTTTGCTCATTATTTGGGTATGCCCTGTGAGTTTCTTGCCTTACCTGTTCATGTATCTACCCCAGTGGGTGATACCGTTGTTGTAGACCGTGTGTATCGGTCGTGTGTGGTGACTATTGGGGGTCTGGAGACCCAAGTGGATCTGTTATTATTGAGCATGATGGATTTTGATGTCATTTGGGCATGGATTGGTTATCTGTGTGTCGTGCTATTCTGGACTGCTATGCTAAGATAGTCACTTTGGATATGCCGGGTGTGCCATGGATTGAGTGGCGAGGTGTGACTGATTATGTTCCTAGTAGAGTGATCTCTTTCTTGAAGGCCCAGCGTATGATTGGGAAGGGTTGTCTTTCATATCTAGCATTTGCGAGGGATGTCAGAGCTGAGACTCCCAGTATTGATTCCGTTCCAGTTGTGAGGTATTTTCCCAATATGTTTCCTGCAGACCTGTCAGGCATGCCACCGGACAGGGATTTTGATTTTGGTATTGACCTGGTGCCGGGCACTCAGCCCATTTCTATTTTGCCGTATCGTATGGCACTAGCGGAGTTTAAGGAATTGAAGGAGAAACTTCAGGAACTCCTAGATAAGGGGTTCATTCGGCCTAATGTGTCACCCTAGGGTGCGCCAATTCTGTTTGTGAAGAAGAAGGATGGCACAATGAGAATGTGCATTGATTATAGGCAATTGAACAAGGTAACAATTAAGAACAAGTATCCTTTGACTTGTATTGATGATTTATTCGACCAGCTTCAGGGAGGGAGAGTGTTTTCCAAGATTGATCTCCGTTCGGGCTATCACCAGTTGAAGATCAGGGATTCAGATATTCTTAAGACTGCTTTCAGGACCAGATATAGTCATTATGAGTTCCTTGTGATGTCTTTCGGGCTAACCAATGTCCTAGCAACATTCATGCATTTGATGAACAGCGTGTTCCGGCCTTATCTTGATTCGTTTGTCATAGTCTTCATTGACGATATTCTGGTATATTCGCGTAGTCAAGAGGAGCACGCGGAGCATTTGAGAGTTGTATTGCAGAGATTGAGAGAGGAGAAGCTTTATGCAAAATTCTCCAAGTGTGAGTTCTGGCTTAGTTCAGTGGTTTTCTTGGGACACGTGGTGTCCAGCGAGGGTATTCAGGTTGATCCAAAGAAGATAGAGGCAGTTCAAAATTGGCCTAGGCCATTCTTAGCTACAGAGATTCGCAGCTTTCTTGGTTTGGCAGGCTATTATCGCCGGTTTGTTCAGGGATTCTCATCTATCGCAACACCCTTGACCAAGTTGACTCAGAAGGGTGCTCCATTTGTGTGGTCGGACGAGTGTGAGGAGAGCTTTCAGAAGCTCAAGACAGCTTTGACCACCGCTCTAGTGTTAGTTTTGCCATCAGCTTCAGGTTCCTATGCTATGTATTATGATGCTTCGAGAGTTGAGATTGGTTGTGTATTGATGTAGGAGGGTAGAGTTATTGCTTATGCTTCTCGTCAGTTGAAGCCCCATGAGAAGAACTACCCCGTTCATGATTTGGAGTTGGCTGCCATAGTTCACGCATTGAAGATTTGGAGGCATTACTTGTATGGAGTATCTTATGAGGTGTTCACTGATCATCACAGTCTTCAGCATTTGTTCAAGCAAAAGGATCTTAATTTGAGGCAGAGGAGATGGTTGGAGTTGCTTAAGGATTATGATATCACTATATTGTACCATCCGGGAAAGGCCAATGTGGTAGCCGATGCTTTGAGCCGAAAGGCGGTGAGTATGGGGAGTTTGGCATATATCCCAGTTGGGAAGAGACCTATTGCAGTTGATGTTCAGGCCTTAGACAATCGGTTTGTGAGATTAGATATTTCGGAGCCCAATCGGGTGTTGGCTTGTGTGGTTTCTCGGTCTTCCTTATATGATCGCGTCAGAGAGTGCCAGTATGATGATCCGCATTTGCTTGTCCTTAAAGACAGAGTTCAGCATGATGATGCTAGAGATGCGACCATCTGTGATGATGGGGTGTTGAGGATACAGGGCCAGATTTGTGTGCCCAATGTGGATGGGCTTCAGGAGTTGATTCTGGAGGAGGCCCATAGCTCGCGGTATTCCATTCATCCGGGTGTCGTGAAGATGTATCAGGATTTGAGGCAGTACTATTGGTGGAGAAGAATGAAGAAGGATATTGTGGGATTTGTGGCTCGATGTCTCAATTGTCAGCAGGTGAAATATGAGCATCAGAAACTGAGTGGCTTGCTTCAGCAGATGGTTATTCCTGAGTGGAAGTGGGAGAGGATCATTATGGATTTTGTGGTTGGACTTCCACGGACTTTGAAGAAGTTCGATGTTATTTGGGTGATTGTGGATCGGCTGACCAAGTCCACGCACTTCATTCCTGTGTGTACTACCTATTCTTTAGAGCAGTTGGCAGGGATCTATATCCGAGAGATTGTTTGTTTGCATGGTGTACCAGTTTCCATCATTTCAGATAGAGGTACTCAATTTACTTTGTAGTTTTAGAGAGCCGTGTAGAGAGAGTTGGGTTCAGGTGGAGTTGAGCACAGCTTTTCATCCTTAGACGGACGGACAGTCCGAGCGCGCTATTCAGATATTGGAGGACATGTTGCGTGCCTGTGTCATTGATTTCGGAGGGTCATGGAATGAGTTTCTACCACTTGAAGAGTTTGCTTATAACAACAGCTACCAGTTGAGTATTTAGATGGCTCCATATGAGGTTTTGTATGGGAGATGGTGTAGATCTCCAGTTGGTTGGTTCGAGATCGGTGAGGCTAGGCTATTGGGGACTAATTTGGTACAGGATGCTTTGGAGAAGGCGAAGGTGATTCAGGAGAGGCTTCATACAGTGCAGTAGAGGCAAAAGAGTTATGCCGATATGAAGGTTTGAGATGTGTCTTACATGATTGGCGAGAAGGTTCTATTGAAGGTTCCATCCATAAAGGGTGTCATGAAATTTTGAAAGAAAGGGAACTGTTTGAGCTGCTTTGGAGGATTAGGGAGGTGGCTTATGAGCTTGCTTTGCCATCCAGCTTGTCTAGTGTGCGTCTGGTATTTCACGTTTCTATGCTCCGGAAGTATATTGGGGACCCGTCTCATGTTTTGGATTTCAGCACAATTCAGTTGGATGATGATTTGACCTTTGATGTGGAACCAATAGCTATTTTGGGTCGTCAGGTTCGGAAGTTGAGGTCAAAGGATATAGCTTCAGTGAAAGTGCAATGGAGAGGTCGGCCCGTGGAGGAGGCTACCTAGGAGACCGAACGGGAGATGCGGAGCAGATATCCTCACCTATTTAAGGCTTCAAGTATGTTTCTTGACTCGTTCGAGGACGAACGTTTTTTTAAGTTGGGGAGGATGTGACGACCCGGCCTGTCGTCTCAGGAGTTACCGCTCCGTTTCCCCTATTTCTGCTTCCTTATGCTTTGTTATCAGTGTTTTATGTGATCGGGTTGATTAGTTTGAGTACGGAGAGAATTTGGTGAAGTTTGAGACACTTAGTCTCTTTTAAGAAGGTTTAAGTTGGACAAGTCAACCAGATGTTGACTTATGAGTTAGAGGGCTCGGATGTGAGTTCAGATGGTTTGGTTAGCTTCGGGAGGTGATTTCTGACTTAGGAGCGTGATTGAAATGGGTTTTGGAGGTCCGGAGTAGAATTAGGCTTAAATTGGCGAAGTTGATATTTTGGCGATTTCCGATTGATAGGCGAGATTTTGATATAGGGGCCAGAATGGAATTCCGAGAGTTGCAGTAGCTTCGTTGTGTCATTTTGGATGTGTGTGCAAAATTTCAGGTCATTTGGACGTGGTTTGGTTGGGTTTTTGATCAAAAGCGTATTTCGGAAGATTTTAGAAACTTAGGCTTGAATCCGATGTGATTTAGTAGATTTGATGTTGTTTGAGGTGTTTTGATGATTGGAGCAAGTTTGAATAAGGTATTGGGTTATGTTTGTGCTTTTGGTTGAGGTCCCAGGGGCCTCGGGATGATTTCAGATGGTTAACGGAGAAGTTTGATGTTGATTGCAGCTTTAGATTTTGTTGGTTCTGGTGTTTTCGCACCTGCGGTTTGGGGACCGCAGGTGCGGTGTCGCATATGTGGGAGGATAACCGCATAAGCGATTTTAGAAGGAATGTTTGGGACTGTATATGCGGTATAGGGCCCGCACCTGCGGAGCCGCAAATGCGGCGAGTGCACCGCAAATGTGGTTTTGGTCCCTTAAGTGAATTCCGAAGAAGCAGTTGGTTAAACCGCAAATGCGGTACCTCAGAAGCGGATTTTTGACCGCAGATGCGGAAAAGCCTGGGCAGAAGGTATATATTTCATCCTTCGCGATTTTTGAAGGGTTTAACCATTTTTTAACTCGGAATTGGGAGCTTTGGGCGATTTTGAAGAGAGAAATCAAAGTGACTTCGTTGAGATAAGGATTTTGGACTTAAAATACATTTATATGGTAGAATTTCACAAATTAATGTTGTAATTAATGGGATTAAAGGGCTAAAAAAATGAAAGATTAGGGCTTGAGTTTAAGAGGCCTTTAATGGAGGATTTGAGGGGTCATTTGAACTCCGATTTTTTGTATTCTTGGTATGTATGGACTCGTGGGGAGACGAGGAATCTATTGGTGTAAAAATTTCTGAGTTTCAAGAAGTGGGCCCGGGGCTCGGGTTTTGCTAATTTTGGAATTTTTGGTATTTTTTGATTGTTTTCGCTTGGGCTTTGTTCCCTTAGCATATTGTGACGTATTCGTTCTGATTTTGGATAGATTCGACGCGAGCGGAGGCCTATTTGAGGGGCAAAGGCATTGCGAAGTAGTATTTTTCACCGGTTTGAGGTAAGTAACCATTGTAAATCTGGAACTGAGGGTACAAAACCCCGGTATTGGACTTGATTTGATAAAAGCGGTGACGCACATGCTAGGTGACGAGTGTGTGGGCGTGCATCGGTAGGTATTGTGACTTGGTCCATCCCGTAGCGACTATTAAGCCACGTAATTGATTTGGAAATCTATATTATTCTATGCTTCAGTCATTTATATTGCATTATGGGTTGTATGCCATGTTTGGGGCCTTGTGCCGATCTGTAGAGACCCTTAGGGGCACTTTGACTGTTTTCCTCACTTTACTTGTTTAAAGCATAGTCTCAGTTATGTTTTTACCTGTCAAATATTTAAAACTGGTTTTATCATTCTGCTCCTATTGTGAGGGCTATGTGGGCTGAGTTCCCTAAATTATATTGTTATGCCCGAGAGGCGGTGAGGTTAATGACTGAGAAAGGTTGAGAACCTAAATGTGAGGATATTTATATATGTGAGGTAAGGATCGGGCTGCATGCCGCAGCGATGCTTATATGGATCAGGCTGCACGCCGCAGCGATATAGCGTTTGGGTTGTAGGAGCCCTTCCGGAGTCTGCACACCCCCAGTGAGCGCAGTCGATTATATATATATATCGGGCTACATGCCGCAGCGATATATGGATCAGGCTGCACGCCGCAGCGGTTACGATGATTTCTGTTATAATGAGGTATATATGAGCCGAGTGCTGAGAGTGAGCACTAAGTGACGAGAATTGAGTCCCGAGTGATTGGGAGGCAGCCCAAGGGGCCATATTCTGAGTGATTCCTTGCTCGAGAGGCCTTGTTATGCTGTTTTCATTGCTTCACTCTTTTTTTTTAAACTAAGCCTCTGTTGGAAATACTGCTAAGTATATGATTTCAAGTTTTAAAATGAAAGTGTGGATTTTATGACGAAACTGGTTTTAAACTGTTAAGTCGAGCTATTATCATGTTGCTATTTTCAGTTATATGTTTTAACTTCTCGTCACTATCTTCAGTCTTTATTTACTTTAGTTACTTACTGAGTTGGCGTATTCACGTTACTCCCTGCACCATGTGTGCAGATCCAGGAGCCCGTGTGGCCGAGTGAGCATTCTTCAGCTGGTTCAGCTTCTGTTGGGGGATTTCGAGGTAGCTGCATGGCATTTACAGCCCTGAATTCTCGCCTCCATCTTATTATTTTCCGCATTTCTAGACCATCTATGTAGTAGGTTGTTCAGACTTGTAATTAGAGGCTCTAGACTTGTGGCACCAGATCATTTGGGCTGTATAGTTATTGTCATTTTGACTTCCGGATATTTTCTGTTATTCTACACGTTTATTAAGAAATCAGTATTTAAAAACTCGTATTGAAAATGGTTTATTACTAAAGGAACAGGTTATGGTTAGTTGACTGGTTGGCTTGCCTAGTAATGTGATAGGCGCCATCACGACCGGTGTTTGCGGTCGTGACACATAGCAAAACACAATCCATTCCATATAAAAAATGGAAAGGAAGGAAGCCCAACTTGAATGATTTTAAAGTGTGGGGGTTTTTGGTAAAAGTGCAAGTTCCTAAACTCAAAAGAGTAAAAATAGGACCAAAAACCATTGATTGTGTTTTCATAGGATATGCGACCAATAGTAAAGCATATCGATTTCTGGTTCATAAATCAGAAAATCCCAACATTCATAATAATACAGTTATAGAATCAGATAATGTTGAGTTCTTTAAAAATATATATCTGTATAAAAAGGAATGTGAGTCGATTGGTGAAGGATCTAAACAACCTCGAGAAGAAACAAAAGAAAGTACATTTAATCAGGAGGATCCAAGACATAGTAAACGTCAAAGAACGTCTACTTCATTTGGACCAGATTTTATGACTTTCTTATTGGAAAATGAGCCTCGAACATTTAAAGAAGCCATGTCTTCTTCGGAATCATATTTTGGAAAGAGGAAATCAATAGTGAAATAGAATCCATATTGAACAACCGTACATGAGAGTTGGTTGATCTTCCTCCTGAAAATAAACCGTTGGGTTCTAAATGGATATTTAAGAGGAAATAAAAGATGATGGCACTATTGAAAAATATAAGGCAAGACTTGTGGTCAAAGGGTATAGACAACGAGAAGGTCTTGACTACTTTGATACATACTCTCCAATTACAAGAATTACGTCCATACGGATGTTAGTAGCATTAGTTGTAGTGTATGGTCTTGAAATTCATCAAATGGACGTTAAGACGGCCTTCTTGAATGGGGATTTGGAGGAAGAAATCTACATAGAACAACTTGAAGGGTTTGTGGTTCCAGATAAAGAAAAGAAGGTCTGTAGACTTGTTAAATCCCTTTAAGGACTAAAACAAGCACCCAAACAATGACATGCGAATTTTGACCAAACAATGTTGTCAAATGGTTTTAAGATAAATGTGTGTACATTAAAAATGTTCCAAATCACATAGTCATTATTTGCTTAAATGTGGACGATATGCTGATAATGAGTAATGACATTGCCAACATAAATACTACTAAGTGTATGCTAACTAGTAAGTTTGATATGAAGGACTTGGGAGTTGCTGATTTAATTCTAGGGATTAAGATCCATAAGACTCCTCGAGGTCTTGCATTATCACAATCTCATTATATTAAGACAGTACTTGAAAAATTCAAGCACTTAGAGTTTAAAGTTGCAAAGACTCCAATTGACGTGAATCTTGCATTAGCAAAGAACAAAGACCAAAGCATATCACAATTGGATTATGCTCGTGTGTTGGGATGCTTCATTTACATCATGAATTGTACACTACCAGATATAGCTTGTGCTATAAGTAAATTGAGTCGATACACAAACAATCCAGGTCAATCTCATTGGGTGGCAATGAAACGAATTTTGGGATATTTAGAACATACCCAAGGCTTTACTTTGCACTACAGTAAATATCCTGTCGTGATTGAGGGATACTGTGATGCAAATTGGATCACCGATTCAGCTGATTCAAAGTCCACAAGTGGATATGTATTTACTATTAGTGGAGGAGTGGTATCTTGGAAGTCGTCCAAACAAAGTTGTATTGTCCGCTCTACAATGGAGGCTGAATTCATAGCCTTAGATAAAGCTGGTAAAGAAGCTGAATGGCTCCGGAATTTCTTGGAAGACATTCCATTTTGGCCTAAACCATTGGCATCAATATGCATACATTGCGATAGCCTAGCTGCAATTGGAAGGGCTGGGAGCGTTATGTATAATGGTAAATCTCGTCATATACGACGAAGACATAAAACGTTAGGCAATTACTCTCTAGAGAAATTATCATGATTGACTATGTAAAGTCTAGTGATAATGTATCGGATCCACTAACAAAAGGCCTAACTAGAGAGGTAGTTGAGAAATCATCAAGGGGAATGGGACTATGACCGAGAACAAGTCATTGTGGCGGTAACTCTACCTAGAAGACTGAAGATCCCAAGATCTAGGTTCAAGGAGATCAAATAAAGTCATTAATGATAGTTTAATATTGTCAACTAAAATTTTGGTCCATTCTCGTGATGAGACAATGTTCAGTACCAAGGATAAAGTATTAAGGCTTTTTAATAATTTCTAAATTTGATACGGGGTATATCAAATAGTGTATCTACGAGATGACATGTTTAAGAATCACCTATGTAAGTGTGAAGTGTTAGCCGCTTCAAGGAGAACTTTGTAAGGCAAGTTCTCTACGCACTTATGAAATCAGGCGGTGTTCATGGCTGAAACGAACACAACAATAAGAACCAAAGACGGTTAAGGGTTGGTTGTGTGACTTATGGTTGTCTAGGTATACACCAAAGTTCGACGGTTCAAAGATATCAAATCTACCGATTGACCGAGTATATCCGACATAAATTCACTACGGAAAGTTCAAAGAGAAACTTACTTATCCAGATGCAATTAATCCTTGCTTGCGAATCACACAGTTTTTCATGCATATTTTCGTAATATAGCCATTCCTCATTCATGTGGGGGAGTGTTGGGTTTTTAAGTATATTAATACTTAAAAGAGGGTGAATGAAAAATGGATGGAAAATAAAATATTTGAGTTTCATTTGAGATTCCCTCCTTGATGAAGGAAATTGTCCCATATTGGAAGAGGAAGAAGTTTTAAATGGGTATATAAGCAATTGCTCTTCTTCTAGCTCTTAAAGAGTTGAGAAGAAGGCAAGCCTCGCGCCGTCGTCGTTGTCGCTCGCTCGGCTCGGCTTCGGCTTCGGATTTGGATTTGGTCAAATGATTGATTGATTAATTTTTTGGACCAAATTTGTTTGTTAATAGTAAATATTAACAAAAATATTATTAAATATCTGTTTTAATAACAAAATATTAATATTAAATCCAAGAATATTAATATTAAAAACCAACCGTTTTCAATTTTCCATTTTCTGTTTTTGTAACAGAAAATTAACTACCATCTTCAATTTTCCCTCTTTATTTTACCTCTTTATTGTTGAGTAAATAGCCATTTATGTTATGACATTTATGATATGGCCTTTTTGCATAAACAACCATTCTGAAGAGTTGCACCTCTTCAGATTTCAGCCCAACTTTAGCTATAAATACAAGTCCATTCTCTCAGATTTTACATACGATTTTCTGAGTTCTCCTCATTTCTTCTGCATACTTTTAACATCAAACAAAGCAACAGTAAGTGTGATTTTCTACCGAACATTGTGTTCGGTGAAACACTGGGGTTTGAAGTACCACTACACCAGTGTGTAATTCATTTTATCCTGGGAGGAAATAATTCATAACCTTGGGTACTAGGAGGGGATTAAATTCCTTAAGGAAACACTGTGAATTCAGTGGGCTCGGATTAATTTGTGTTTCGTTTATGTTGTTTTATCTTTTCCAGAATTAGTTTACAAATATAGTTTACTAACAATGATAAGCTGCAAAAGTACTAGTAAAATCACAAATCTTCTTTTGTTTTCGCCACTTATTACGAAAACAAGGGTCAAGAAGAGGTGGTAATAAGCTTGATAAACGTGGTTGAGTGGTAATAAGCTTGATAAACGTGGTTGTACTCAAATGTCATCCAACTCTATCACCTTTTTTTTGCAGATCCACATCTTTTGTTCAGGATTTACTACATAATGATATATTAGGGAAACTCCACCTTCGGCATGTAATGGTGTAGTAGCTAGTAGCAGTAACTCTCCCAATCTCACATTTTCTCCGGTTCATAGTTTTTTGGAGAACCATGTAATATCACCAAACATTACTCCCTGGATATTTTCTAGTTAAGTAGTAGTAATATTTACACTTTCTTTAGAATTCCGACCCCAAAAGAAGAAGAAGTGGTAGGCATAAAGAATGACGAATCGAAGTTCTCAAAGATATGCAATTCTTAAAATATTTTTGCAATTCAAGAGAATGATAGTTTTCAACTATAAGTTTCAGTCTGTGCGTACAAAAAACTGTTGATGTCGTTAACTTTTTCCTAACGTCATAATAATCTTTATAATATCATAAATTTCACGAGGGCCACTAAAATATTTTCCGATTGACTTAGGAGACTTGAGTTAAATTTAGTTCTACGACTCTTTAACAATCATGCTAACAAACACCTCAAACAATAACTAAGAGCATGTTTGGAAAGCCACCTAGGAATTGGATTTGAGTGTAAATGGAAGTAATTACACAGTTTGTCATGTTTGTTTGGCCAATTAATTACTTGGTCAGCATGGAATTGGGTGTAATTTGAGATGTGTAATTACACTCTCCAATTCTCAAGGGGAAGGTGAAAATTGGTAGTAATTACACTGCGTAATTATAAAGTTGCTTTTTAGTTTCTTGCCTTTTTTGTTTTTATTTTAATTTATTTTCTTTATAACTTTTTATTTCTATTATTTTACTTTTTAATTTTATTTTTACTTTTAATTTCTTTTGAAATTTTAAAATATATTTTTCTTTGTACATTATTTATCTTTTATTTCTCTACATTTACTTCTTGTGAATCCGTGTAATTGCTTATATTTTATTTATTATTTATTTTATTATTCTATTTTTTGAAACTACATCTTCTAATACTTGAAATAATGAGTCATTAACAAACTTGCCATATAATAAGTGATACTATTAAAGTGGAACTGCGTTGTTGAATGTGGCTATAAACTTATTGTGTTTCCTAATCTTAAATTGTAGTGGAACTTACTATTATTATGTTGGAATTTGACATATGTTAAACTAATTTTTTTTTTTTTTTTGGATTTTGAAATTGTGTTATTTCATGGTTCCAATTTACTTGTTTTAGTAGTATTGGCTCACATTGCATGTTGTTCATTTTTTAGTTAGAGTTAATAGATTAGTATTGTCAAATATTTGAATAATGTTATGACATTATATTTATAAATATTAATTTATTTTATCAAACATGAACTCCATGATGTTCTTATAACACAAATATTTTTAGTTTTTGTAAGTATCTAAACTAAATATTAGTAATTTGAAATATATATATATATATATATATAAATTATTTTTACAATATTAGTTATAAATATATGATTATCAATTAATGTATATTCACGAAAAAATATATATCTTAAATACCAAATATAATATCATTTATACTTATAAAAAATCATAGGTATACATTTATTATATTAACTTTTAAATTTTTATAATTACTTCATTTTAAATTTAATTTAACTGCGTAATTACACTTGTGCAACCAAACAGTAAACTTGTAATTACACTATGACAAATAAACAGGTTGTCGTAATTACACAATTATTTAATTACTAGACTGTGTAATTACTACCCTAGTAATTACACCAATTCCAATTACCTAGTGGCTTTCCAAACATACCCTAAGAGTAGTCCTACCCAGATAGCCAAGGTAGTTTCATAAAGAAAAGCAGCAGCTGCAAATGATGAATGTTAAATATGGCAAAAATCTATACTATGTAAATATGAAATGATTTCCACTAGTTAGGATGTTTATTAAGAAAGTGCTGATTTTGTTCAAAAAATATTTTTACTTAGTTAATTATTTTCAATCAAATATACTATTAGAGTAAAGGGTTTTGGTTTTAATAAATATATTTTTTAAATATTAAAGGTTGATAATGTGTTGAGTGTTGGCTAGATTACTAATATGAGTTAAGATTTGAGATAATTGTGAAGGAAAATAACTTTTTCCCAAATTAATAAAAAATATATTTCACCTTCTGATAATAAATAATTTTTTTAAAGAAAATTCATTAAGTAAACAAAATATAATTATTTAAGATTTAGTCACATCAAATCATCGAATGAGAGCTTCGGCGTAACTGGTAAAGTTGATGTCATGTGACCTTCTCCAGAAGGTCACGGGTCAAGCCGTGGAAACAACCTCATGTCCATGGATGGACCTTCCCACACATGGCGAGAAGTATTTAGCGGGAACTCACATTGAAAGTGCTTTGCAATTCTTATTATTTTTTATTTATTTCTAGAGCTTGGTACACTTTTTGAGGGGCAATTTCAATATTTTTTTTTCTGTCTTTGACGTCTAATGTAATTCTTTCTATTGCAGTTTCTTCAATTTTTAATAGTTCTCGTCCTATCAAACAAAAGGATTTTTTTAATATTTTATGGAAACCAAAAGTGTTCACGTTTGGCAAATTTATTGATCAAAACTACTTAAGAATATATTTAAGGTCCTATTTCGAGTCGACCCAAACATAAGGGACCATTTTTGTTATATTCTCCAATAATATCATGCCATGCCTCGGAAATCACACACAGCAAATTCACTGTCCAATTTATAGGGTTTCCTCTTACTCCTCGGGAGAATACTGCCGGAGCTCCGTTGACCACCACTGTCACCGGCGAAGGACAGTTCATTTCCGTTCCTGAAGCTCAGTCATTTCATTGACGGAGGTTTTCCAATCGATTTGGTAACAAGGTATGAAAATGTAGAAAAAGCGGACTTGTTTTCACTGTCAATTTTGTTACTTTTTTACTAGCAGCGTCTGCTTTTTTGCAACGAATTTGTGTAATTGTTTCTTGCTTTCTGCTCTTCTGAAACAGTGACAGTTCTCTTTTCTTGCCTTCCTTCATTCGGCATTACTGGGTTTATTTCATCCAAATTATAAATAATTCAATCTTAAAAAACAAATCCTCAAAACTAGATAGGTGTTTAGACAATATTTGAGTTGATGTTGAAAAAGAAGAGTATTTGAAGTTGAAGTTGGAAAAGTTTATGGATGAAATTGTGTTTACACATAAACTTATGTTTTATCAAAGTTGTAGATTTGTGCGTCAAAGCTCGTATCTCACTTGAAATGCACATTCAAACCAGTATTCTTACACAGTCAGCGTGAATCTCGATATTATTTTTTTTATAAGCAATTGAGATATCTTATTGATGTGAAAACCAGCAATAAGGAATGCTGGAGAAATGTAGATCCAAAAGGAGATAACTTTACAAAGTGTTTAGAGAGTTAAGAAAATTAATCATGGCTTCAGATTCCAAAACATCGACCCAAGCCATATTTATGCCAAAAGTTGAGCAAAAATAAACATTTGTGTATAAGGTTAATAACATTCTCCTTCTTCTCTTCAAAAACTCTAGCATTTCTTTCCTTCCAAATCACCCACCAAAGTACTGCCAATATAGTGTTCCAGATTCGAAATGGTTCTTTAGACAAAACCCTTTTATGCCATGCATGAAGAATGTCCAAAGCAGAATTTGAAGAACGTCACCCGATGCCCAAGCATTTAAAAAGAAATTCCATATTTGATAATTAAGGGTGCTTCTTACTCAAAATAATGTGAAAAGCAGAGGTATTCCTTTGTGCAATAGATGCTACTTATGCCTGGCAGAAGACAAAAATGTAGATCATTTATTTATGCACTGTCCAGTAACTAAGCGTGTTTGGGAAATGTTTTTATGAGTTTGGAATTGTTTGGGTGAAGCTTATGTAAGTAGGGGAAGGTGGAGAGTTATGGACTCTTATGTACACTGTTCTACACCATCCCTGATGGTTAGTAACTCCTTTATCTCTAGTTTTCTGTGCTTGTCAGTGCTTTGCACCATATTTATGTATGTGTATTTGTAACCTCTGCCACCATGTGCTGCTTTTGACATCTTCTGGTGTATATTTTCCTGAAGTTGTTTGTTGGCTTTTAACTTGATTTGCTTGTTATTTGTTTGTATTATGTTCTTCTCTGAAAATTGACTCTTGCTTTGTGTTTCAATCAGATGAGCAGCTCAGATGAGGAATCAGATTTCAGTGATTCTGAGATTAATGATTATATAGAGAAACCTTATCAAGAACTGAGAACTGGAAAATACAAAGTGAAGGGTCCAAATGGGTCTCTCAGATGCCCCTTTTGTGCTGGGAGGAAGAAGCAAGATTACAAATACAAGGAACTCCTTCAACATGCTTCTGGTGCAGGTAAAGGTGCTCGTTTAGGTGCAAAACAAAAAGCAAACCACTTGGCACTTGCAATGTACTTGGAATCTGACCTAGCTAATGAGGCTGAGCCAGTACCCCCACGTGCTGTCACACCAGAGCGCACAGAAGCCGAGCAAACAGAAGTATTTTGCTGGCCTTGGACTGCAGTTGTTGTCAATATGTCAAAAGAAACAGCAGATGGAGAATCTGTGGACAACAAGGAGTATTGGTTAAAAAAATTCTCCTTGTATAAGCCCTTGGAAATTATGCTTTTCCATGATAACCAAGTGCTGGTGTCTGAAGCTATTGTGACTTTTGATAGGAATTGGACTGGTTTCAATAATGCAATGGAATTTGAGAAATCCTTTGAAGCTAGGCGCTGCAGTAAAAAGGAATGGTGTGCCCATAAAAGTTGCCCCAGTTCAAATATTTATGGATGGGTTGCTCGGGAAGATGATTTTAGAGCAGAAGGGGCAATAGGAGAATACCTCCGTGGAAAGGGGGAGTTAAAGACTATATCTGACCTGATCAAGGAAGAAACCCAGGATAGGAATAAGGTTGTAGCTACTCTAGCTAACGAGATTGATATGGAAAATGAAAATCTGGATGAGCTGCAGATACAGTTCAATTTAAAGACGTTGTCTCTTAGGCAGATGCTTGAGGAGAAAGACATACTACATCGTTCTTTCTTTGAAGGTTCCCAGTCATAAACCCATCCATTTTACTATTTTCATTTCACTGTGCAATTATATGTGATAATTATGTTCCTTCTTTTATGTGTTAGGAAATTTGACATTTTCCACTGATATGATGAGAGTATTTGGACTTGAAATTATACATCACACATGTTCTCTATTGACATGTTTCCTTTGTTTCTACATGTCAATTACTTTTAAATGTCTCCAGGATTGCTTTAAAAGAATTCTAAGGGACTCTAGGCCATCGGTTTGATATAAATCAGGAATTCAAGAAAGTCTGTTTCTGGAGAAAGAAATAGGACTAGTATTTTTGTATTTTGTGGTTAAAGAAACTGCTATCGTGCCTCCTGTATAACTGGTATCTAAAATACAGAAACAAGGAAGATGCAACGCCTTGCACGGGAGCATGTACAGAAGGTCCTACATGAGCAGGAGATGTTAAGTGTTGAACTGGAGAGGAAGAAGAAGCAGCTAGATATTTGGAGCAGAGAATTGAACAAACGTGAGACCTTAACTGAAAGAGAAAAGCAAAAGCTGGATGAGGAGAAGCAAAAGGTGATCAAACTTCTAATATCAGTCAAAGTTGTCTGATATTTTACATTATTATAATGTAGGTAGTTACACTCTTCTGGATTTTGGTGGTCAGCTTACTTACGGATGTATATTGTGTGAAGTAGAATAATATGCTGAAGCTTCCTATTCTTTTTTAGAAGAATTTGTTCTGGAAAATACATTCAATGCTTTTCTTGTTTACATCTTAAGGATCCTGAACATCGTTTGTGGACTTTCAGAATGACGTAAGAAACTCAGCACTTCAAATGGCCTCTGCAGAACAAAGGAAAGCTGATGAGAATGTGTTGAGACTAGTTGAAGAACATAAGGTGCTGCATTCATAACCCCCCACCCCCC